ATGGAGCCACACTCGTTAACACGTCTGTCCATCCCTCCACTCATACCGTCTCAGCCAGGCCAACACACACAGAGAGAGGAGAGAGGGGAGCAGACCCGCCACCCACCCATGCGCGCGCCCATCCACCCACCAGAGGCATGGGAACATTCGCCTCACACCCAGCCATTGTGCCAACATCAGCAGCTCACCTACGCTACACCAGTCAGCAGGCTACAGGTAATCTGCCTGTGTCTTGCTCTCACCGTCTAGGGGTCACGAGTGGCCATCAGCCCAATGCGCCCATCATAAACCCGTGTGTTGATGGTGAAGCCGCCCACTCGAGTGCCGTTGGGGCACAGCTCACGAATGGCGTCGTGAAGGCGGCCATGCATCGGCAGCAGCACCACCACACGCCTCAGGCCGCGGACACCGGCGGTGAGCAAAGTCGACAGGCCGCTGCGGATGAACTCGGCAGCAGCAAGGGGCTCCAACTCATCAGACACTGACGAATGGCGGCACACAAACACAAACACACGATGAGCCGACGAGCACCTCGCTTCACTCACTGCAGGCATTCGCGGCATACCTTACCTTCTAAGAACATGCATATCTCTCCAATCGATGGCAGGCGACTCGACCCCCAGCCGTCAAAGACGCCGCCCTGCTTGAGACTGACCGCATCTAACGCACCCACATGGACAGTGCGCACCTCCCTCCCCGCCCCCAATCCCTCCAGCACGCCGATCCTGTCCTGTGCACTGACAGCTTCATCAAACACCACCCACCCCACCTGTATAGGCATCTTCTCTGCCAGCAGCCGGCCCGTAGCAACGCTCAGACGGCTGTCGACACACAGCTCTCCCACCCTCGGAAACGGCTGCAGGTGGTTGATGATGGTCGGGACGGGTGAGGGGCTGCCGGGAGGGGGGACGAAGCCATCGGCATTGTGAACCGACACCCACTCCACCTTGTCGAATGTGAGGCTCTGTGCGATGTCGATGGCCGCCTCGCTGGGGCTGTCGAGGGGATGGGTGATGTCATGCTGGCTGATGGTGTAGACCACCCTGGCCGCCTGCCGTGCCGCCTCCTTGATGGCCGTCTTGATGAAGGGCGAGGGGCGAGGGGGGAACATGTCGGCGTAGAATTCGGACAGCTCGAAGAACTCATCGCAAACAGCGGTCACGGTGAGCGGCACGTCCGGCGAGGTGCAGTAGTCGTTGATGAAGTCGTCGACAGCCAGCAGGGCAGAGAGGCTGTCACGTTTCTCGAATGGTGGGATCTCCACGTCGAGGCTCGTCAGCGACTTGTGGCAGCCACGCGATGTGAGCACATCCTAGAAAGAAGCAAAGAGAGAATGACACCATTCGTATGTCTGCACAACAGGTGAGGCCTCCCCTGTGTGGTGATTGCCTACCTGCAGCCGTCTCACTTTGTCTCCCTCGATGCCCCCACTCGCGATCCCTCCGATGGTCTGTAGGTGTCTGAGCGGCCCTGGCTGCCCGGCGGATGTGATGGGGAAGTGCTCAAACACAGCCGCCCACCACTCCCATGAACGCTGACGCCCCCCAACCTCTTTCAGCGACTGAGACGAGCTGATGAAGCGGCCCAGCTGGTCGGCACCCCAGCCCCACAGCTCCACACGCTCGAGTGCGGGCATCTTCCAGCCCCTGTCGGCCAGCTCACTGTGCACTCCGACGGCTCCTGTGACGGCCCTGAGGGCATGGAGGGTCGGGGGCTCGGAGAGGGGGGCAGTGATAGGGGGCCCTGTGAGGGGTAATTGGTAGGTGGCAGTGGTGAATTGGATGGTCTCCAGACTGCCCTCCGCCATGAGCCGCTGCCCCTCCTTCTCGCACGCCTCGCGTCGCCCGACCGCATGGCCTCCACGACGTATATCATGGTGTTCAGACACCACGACTGGTCGAGGAATGGCTGCACGAGGGTGAGGGCCGTTAGGTTGATGAGCCGCTTGCCGAGATGGAAGGCCTCCTCAGCCATCATGCTCCCCCAGAACTGCAGGTCGTCCTCGTTGCTGCAGTCGATGGCGATGTGGGTCTGCTGGTGAAGGGCGGCCGTGTGGATGGGGGAGGGGCTGCCCTGTGCGGCGCCGCCGGGTCGTTGCTGCTCAAAGGCCACACTGCCAGACAGGATGACTCCAGTCGAGAATGACGATTAACTGAATGAAGATGACGCCGCCACACCTGGTCGATTGACCAGGTGTGGTCGACCCACACACACATGCAGCCAGCAGGAGATTGACCCATCCCTCCATCCACTTATCCATGTGTGTGTTGTCAGCTGACGTCACTCACCTGTGCCGCCAGTGATGCTACCGCTGAAAGGGTCGAACATGCCAGCCGTCCCGGTGGCAGCCCCGCCCTGGCCAGGCAGACTCCCTCTGTCAGTGCCGCTGCTTTTCGACCCGACGTCGCCGACGAGAGAGCCACCTCCCGACGCTGCCGCCTCACCACAAAAAAGATTGCCACCTCCTCCCCCCGTGGATGCCTTGCCGAGCTCGAATGGGCTGCTGATGGGTGTGGTTGTCGATTGTGCTGTGGATGGTCCTTTGGCAGGCGCGAAGCTGCTGCCGCCGAAGAGGTCCGCTGGGGCTGCGGTGGTGGTGGTGGGGCTGGCGGTGAAGGAGGGCGAAGGTGCGCCACTTAGGCCGTTGAACACGTCGGTGCTTGGCTTGGGTGTGGGTATGGCTGCGCCAAATGTGGACAGCGACGAGGTGCCGCCGCCTGATGACGCAGCTGCACTCGACAGGCTCCCCTCTCCCGCCGATGTGCCAGACAGAGCTGATACCGATGGCGCACCCGGAAGTACCCCGTCGGCCGTGTCCTCGTTGGCCGCAGCTGTGGTCTCGCCCTTGAGGGGTCCGGGGGCGGCGCCCGCAAAGAGCGAACCGCCAGTGGTCGACGGCATGGTGGAAGACGATGTGATGGCCGAGAGAGGGTGCTGCCGTGGCCGCCAATCGAGGGAAGACGGCTGACAAGAAAATGACAAAGGAGGCAGCGGTGGTTGCATCGCTCTCGGCGTCCATCTGCCCACTCACTGGCCAGATTTGGTACGTGTCGGCTTCTGTCTGCGAGGCTTCTTGTCGGGGACCCCATTCGTTCCAGGTTCGAACGAGGGGCTGTGGGAAGATGGCCGACAGCTCGCGAGGGCTGAAGAAGCTCAACAGTGACGCCAGAAGGTCCCCGCCGAAGCGTTCAGGGGCCCGCACCAAAGACAGGACCAAGGGAGATAGACATGAGAGTGGCTGACATCATTCGTGTGTTGTGTGTGGCTGTGTGTGTACCTTCTTGCTAACGTCCCACACCTGCACACACATCACACCACACACCAAAGCACCAAGCATCACAAAGTGCTGTCCGGAACCTTTCTGTTGAGGCGTGTCTGTCTACCACGGGGGCCGTTTGGTACGTGTTCGTCGGCGCCGTGGTCTCGTTGTGCGGCACCACCACTTTGAACTCCTCCCGGTGTCCGCCCACCTCCCTCATGTAAAGCACCGTCCGTCCACCGCGCTCCTCGATGCGATACACGTCGGCCTTGACCCACCTCTGCTTGCCCTTCTCCCGCTTGCTGGTCACCATCTGCACACGACTGCCCTCTTTGTAACGACTACTCGCAGAGCGTCCCATCGCCTGATGAATGAGACAAACAAACCACAAAGAAATGCCCAAACAAATGAACGAATAATTTGCACCTCACGGTGTGTGCCGTGCTCACTTCTGCTTGAGGCCGAACAGACGAAGATGAAGCTGCTGCCGCCGCTGCCATGGCGACACTCAAACACGGCTGACGAGAAGAGCACAGAGGTGTGTGTGTGTGCATCTCTCTCGGCATCTCTCTCGTCATTCGTGTGCGGCTTACCGCCGAGATCTGCCGAGCAGAATTCTATGAGCCGAGGCTTTTATCGAGGAAGCTGACGTCCCCGGGGCACTCACGGAGTGCAATTCGCCCGTACAACACTCTAATCCATTCATCAACAGGCGAGCTTATTCGCGAGCTCGCCGATCTGTTAGGCGCCGTTTTCTCTTCGTGGCCGAGCCGATTGATCACTGCAAAAGGGACCACACCGACGTCAGCGACGACAATTGAGAAAAAACAAGCAGCTGCAACCGACAGTCACGAGATTTGATGTGCCGCAGAAAGGACCAAGGAAAGGACAAGTCCCTCATCCGGCCGTCGGCGAGTGCTGCTGCTGCCCCGCCACAACCGAAGATCTGCAGGTGGTAAATAAGTCGGCTTCGGAGCATCCAAGAAGCGATCCAATGCGTGGACGCCATGCCACACACACGACAAGCCAGCCATCCACTGTTTGCAGCATCCCCACACGCACACACACTGACTGACAGGAGCTGAGAGGGAGGCAATACGCAAAGATGGCCCACCTCTCATCGAACACAACGTCACCCAGCTGCACACACGGGCGTACAAAGAAGGCCATGCGGTGCACGTGACATTGGCCTGCCCAATCGCTGCCTGCACAGTGAGCCGACATGTGCCTCACCGGCCGAAGACAGCGATCAAGCAGTGGGAATGCCACTAGCTCCGTGCGGATGGGCTGTTTGCCGGCACTTTCTTTGGTGTGCAGCTAGAGCGACCGGAAGAATGAAATGAGAATTGATTGATGCATACGAAGTCACACGAACGAGCAAGTAAACCAACAGAAATGCAAACATCCACCGTAAACCACCCCCTACTCAGATCAAGATCATGCAGATAAGTAAGGAATGCCGCCACCCGACCCGCAATGTCTGTCTGTCCCGAGGCAGCCCAAAACACGCCATATGTGGGTGCAGGGCCCATGGACAAATGAAGACTTAAACCGGCAATCCACTCCCTTGTGGCACTATACGTACAGTACCGACCCACCGACACTTATCCCCCCTCTCTCTCCCTCTCTGTGCCTGGCATTTAGGTAGCCGGCCAGCCGACCACTACGCGGCCACCACTTTCTCCCGGATGATGGCAGCTGTGCGAGGGTACCGCTCATCTGGGCGGCGCTTCCAAGCGACAGGGGGCTCGGTGGTGCAGATCCTCATGCTGAAGTCGATGCAGACAAGGAACTCATTCGCCGCCTTGTCCCCACACAGAATTAAGATCCCCTGGTGGCACAGCGTATTTGCGTCGTCGACCCACCACAAGCCCGCTTTGCGGCAGCCGTTCCACTGGCCCCTTGCGCGCCGCATGATGTCTTGAGTGAGCTGGTAGTGGCTGGGAGGCGGAGCGATGAGTAGGCATGGAAGGGTCCAGTGGGGGCAAAGACGGGGGTCCATCCCTATCAAAAAATGTTGGTCGACCAGCCGATGATATCCGTGAATGAAGTATATACGCACTTGCCACCTGCAGACACGAAACAAACGATCCACACACTCACTCCTCTCTCTCTCCCGCCGTCCATCCCATGTGTGTGTGTGTTCGCTCTCCCGGCCGCTCTGCTCACGTCTGGTCGGCGGGTCGGGATCACTCAAATCGATGCCGACGTACGTCAGTGCATCGTTGTCTGCTGAGTCGCCCAGATAGTCTTCGCCACTGACACGGCTCAAACGAATGGCTGTGAAACTCAGGCGGTGACTGAAAAGTGAGTACTGACGGACGCCTGTGGTCGCGAGCTGAAGACCGCCCGGCCGCCCACTTGATGCAGGTCGTATGCCGTGATGACGATGGGCAGAGAGGGGAGGAGGCGGCTGCTGTGCTTGAGGTAGTGGATGAGCGACACACACCGGTCCCAGCAGCCGCCCTCCTCGATGACGTACAGCAGCCGCAGCAGATAGCCCACCCTGCCGTCGATCCGTAGCAGCTCATGCATCAGCTCACTCCAGAGCAGACGGCACAATAGGACCAAGCAGACCGGCGACAAAATACAGAACAGCCATGGGATGACCACATCGGTGAGCAGTGCACGGCCGCTCAGCTGGTCCAGAGATTTCTTGTCGCCCAGCAGCACTGAAAACTCGTCGGTCGTGTAGCAGAGCCATGCGACGTACCAGGCGGTGTAGATGCCAAGAAAGAGAGGCCCCACGATGCAGAGCAGCGATCTGATGACCTCAACGATGAGTATTGGGCGGACGTCCCGGCCTTCGAGCGCTGATTTCTCCGCGACATCCTTGCCCAGCTGATGCACCCAGGAGTCCTCGCTCGACGTCATCCAGGCGGCGTAGACCCCAGGGAAGCAGAGCAGCACCACAGCACACGCGAAGCACCGCCTGCCGGTCGCCAGCGCCACACGCAGCCCACTCCTGACTCGGCGCTCGATCGCAGACCACAGAGGGTGAGGGAAGTCGTAGAACGCCACCCAAAACTGCCTGTACGCTCGCACAATGAAGGACGCCTCACCAAGCAATCGAACGACCATTCTTATCACGGGGAACGGTATCACGAAGGGCAGAAAGGCGATAGGTAGCTTGATGCCCCAGCCGATAAGAAGGTCGAGAAGAAACTTGATGCTCCCCTGAACCCACGGCAATGCATCCAGCGGCTGCAGCACCCACGGCAATGCGTCCAGCGGCTGCAGCAGAAAGTCAATCGGCGGCACGATCACACCGAAGATACCGGCCCAGACCACAATATAAACCACAAACAGAATGCCCACACCCACGGTAACTTGAGTGAGAGTGAAAGCCACACTGATAATGGCCGCGATCCACTGCAGCAGGACCAGCAGGACAGTCTCGCAGCGCTTGTGGTACGTCAGCACTCCACTGAGGCCCTTGTCGCGAATGGCAGCGTCGAGGCGGTCCGTCAGGTAGGTCTCGCTGACCAGCTGGGAGCCGACGCTCTTGGATGAGGCTCGGAGGGGGCCGCAGTCGTCGGCGGTGAGGGAGTCCAGCAGTTGCCTCTCCACATCCTCAGGCAAACCGACCAACCAACACCTACCGGGGACCGACTGACATTCGCACAAACACATGGCCCACGTGACATACCCAGTGGATTCATGTGTGGTGCTGTGTGGGTGCTCACTCACCGTTGGTGCCCCTATTCCGCTACTCGCCATCAGTTCCCGACAGCTCTCTATCTCCTGCACCACATACATAAGTACACACGGAATGACAGCGTGCTGTTGGTGTTTGTGTGTTCGTCGTGCTGCCATGGCATGGGCAACAAGTGTGTTGCGTACCGGCGAAGGTCCGACAGAAGACATGGGTCACAGACCACGTATCATCTGTTCAATGACCACACTCCAGAGCCAGATCCAGCCAGCCGTGTCAAATACGCGTCTGCCAACAACAGCTGCCATCAAACGTGCGAAGCACATGCGAGCTTGCGATCCGCTGCCGTGGACAAAAGGAGGGAGAAGCAGACCTTTCTGAGAAGATTCAAGACGATGAGGAGGCAAAGAGCCGGAGGGAAGCAAGAAGACTTCATTCGACTCATCCCCTTTCACTCCTTGAGGCTGTATGTGAAGGCGTGCAGAGCCCCTGCCTTTCTGCAGGAGCCCGGCCGTCAGCTCAGCTTTCACAGTGGCCCAAGAACAGTATGGATTGGACATAACTAACTGTTCTTCCATTCTGCCAAGTGCGCAGCATACATGTGAACAGCCTGCGTATTTGCACTCATCTCATCAATTCATCACTGTTCAGGTGCCCGGCCTGCCACACGAGCGCAAGCCGCTTGTGGATCAGCTGAATGCACCGTTACGAGCGGGAGAGGGAGGAGATTGCTGATCAATGCGGATCTATGCTGCAAGCAGCTGGCCGACAAGAAGCCGTGGATCTGTTTCTCCGACTCAGAGCAGGCGGGCAGACTGACAATGCATGAGCCGTGTTTGGAGAACAAATGGCGCTCTCTTCATGGCATCCCTTTCTCACCGTGGGTTCTATTGGACCTGCTGCATTTTAAGTGTGTTTCCTTGGTGATGGAGCGGCGTGTGTGCCAGGAGGCCAGTCAGTCGTGTGTGTGTATGTTTTGAAGTGGCTGGCGTGTAGGCAACGTGATCGATAGACAGAGTGCGCCCGGACGGATGGACGCACTTGGTGAGTTATGGTGAGCGGTGGATGAGCCTGCCTGCCTGCCAGCGACGGCATGATACCATGGGCGGGCGCCGCTCAGTGTACGCACACACGAAGAATCCGGTCAGAATCCGCTCACCAATGTGTGTCATCCCACCCCCCCATCCACCGAGCCGCATGTCATACGCAGAGATGCAGCACACACACATCAGTCAGGGGCGGGCAATTAGGAAGCAGACGAGTCAGGCAGCGACATCCATCCATCCATCCATCAGGATCCCCCCGCCTGGCTGCCTGCCTCCGTCGTCCCGGCCGCGTTAAAACACCTGTCCGCCATTGGATACAACACAGGAAGCGGGTGACTCGTCACTGCCTTCGTTCATGTGACACCTCCGTAGGTGGGTCAACACATGAACAGCGACGCGCCCCATCTGCCTGCATTGATTCTGGGAGGCGTTAGCTATATTACATCTGGATCTTTGAATCGTAATTACATATGTAGTCAGATCTGTCGACGACACAGGCAGCTGGAAGGATGGATTCGCCTGTTGTGCACACACCTTATCTATACATGCCTCCACTCCGTGTGGCCTTCCAACATCCAAGGCCATCTCAGCTCGCATCTCCCCATAACGGCCGAAACCGTTGGAGACAGTAGGACACATGTTCTCTGTTTCTCGTCTGTGTTGGTCAAACAAATTCTCTGTTTCTCGTATGTGAAGGCCGTCATCCACCACCCCCTCCCAATCTAGCCTACCGAGCCCAGCGCGCATAGACAACATACACATCTGGGCGACGCAGAAGCACTCGAGTGGGTCAGGCAGTAACCACCTGCCTGCCTGCCATCTCTCTGTTGCGCTTCTCTCACGCCATCCCCAGCCGTCTAAATGTCTCCCTGCCATCCCGCCCCTTCTCGACCCACCCCACCGCCCCCCACACCACCGCAGCCACATCCTTGCTGAAGCCGTTGTCGATCTCTCCCTCCAGCCCCCACTTGTTCGCCTCGTCCAGGATGGCCCGCTGGACCACCTCGCGCAACTCCACCTTGCGGCCACCCACACCCCCCAGCACAAAGCACTGCAGCTGCGGGCACCTCACCAACTGTCCCTCGCTGTCCCTCTTCCTGCCCCCACGGCCCACCACCTCCCCATTGCCCACCACCCGCAGTGACGCGGCGGCCTCCACGAATCGCGCCATGGCGGTGTTGATGCGGCGGCCGACCTTAGTCGCGTTCTGCACGGGCCGGGGGCTCTCGTCGAGCACCGATGGCTTGACAAAGAATGACGCCACGCGCCACGCCACAGCCGACATGTCCAGGTTGGCCAGGGGAGTCTCGTCGTCCTGCCAGGGGGCCACCGGGGTGACGTGTGGGGGCAGGGAGGGAAGGAGTGGGTCTAATGAGGGGAAGGCGGCCTTGAGCTGCTGGGCAGTGCCGCTATGGAATGCCTTGGTCAGCGCGTCAGCCATCTCGCGCTGAGGTCGCAGTGCGGCATTGACGGCCGCCATCACAGCAGTTGGCAGCTCGTTCAGCACCGTGGCATAGTCGATCAGCACCAGCTGGCGGCCACGGCGGTCTCTCTCTGTGGCCGTGGGGATGCTGTTGATGTCGGCCCCCGCCCGCAGCACGGTGCGGATGGTCAGCTTGTAGTTGGGAATCTTGGCGCGATACTCCTCCTTGTCGGCCTCGGGCGTGTCCGGGTCCTGAAGCCGTTGGGTGTACCGATCGAGCTCATAGGCAGCGAGGGCGAGGGGGCTGTCGCCGAAGACTCTCCGTCTGTTGATCTGGTCAGCGAACAGCTTGTGGCAGAGGTAGTCGGCCACGTAGGGAGAGCCACACAGTGCCGCCCAGTGCAATGGCGTCCGTCCACCGCCGTCGTCTGCCGTCATGTCAGCCCCGTTCGCCGTAATGAGGTCGAGGTAGCTGTCGATGAACGACTGGGGATAGTGCCCCATTGCCTTGAGGGCTGCCCGGTGCACCAGGTTTTTGCCGAGTCTTCGTTGGGTGGCGAGGGTGGGGTCTCCTTCGATGAGTTGCCGAAACATCGACATGAGCAGCTGCTGATACTCGGGAGGGAGGCGGACGACGCGGCTTGGGCAGCTCCATCATCATGTATCCGTCTGGTGGGCAGCTCCCACTCGCGCGGAGGTGGATGTCTTGACGCGCCATCAGGAGGTCAAAGGCCGTCTGATTGCCGGATGCGATCGCCAAACGGATGGGCGCCAAACGGTAGGCTGTCTCATTGGGGTCGGCGCCTCCGTCGAGCAGTGCGGTCAGGATTGCCGCCTGCAGCTCGTCAGACGACCACTGCGGCAGGGCGACGGGGCGGTCATCATCATCGCCTTCCGCTAGAATGGTCTCGACCGTGTAGCCGGACTTGTTGTCAATGGCGAGACACAGGAGTGGGTAGCCGTAGACAGCACCACTGTCCCTGCCCTCCAGCCCAGTGATGACATCCGGGTCGGCGCCCTGCTGCCGGATGAGGTGGGTCACTTCTCGCCCATTGGTGAAGCGGCGGCCGATGATGCGCCGTGACAGCTGCTTGGAGGCGTCGCTGGTGCCCTTGAGGAATCGACCCACTAGACGATCGAGTCCGATGTGGCCCTCAGGTACAGGAAAAGCTGGATCCGCCAGGCCACTGAGAGGATAACCTGCCACACACACAGCCACCATACATACAACGGACAGTGATTGTGCGCGTGGGATCTTCTCTCGCGTCTGCCTGGCCTGACGTACCTTCCACCTCATATTGATTGTAGTCGTCGTCGGAGTATCCGTCATCGATATAGGCATCTTGGTCATCATCGCCATTCTCCTCCTGCATGCCACCCTGACACACAACAAAGAGGCAGGCAGGGGGCGGAAAATAACTCAAGGGCCTCCATCGCATGGACCAGTGTTGGTGCTGATGAGTGAGTGCCTCACCGATTCGTCTCCATCTGCTGCCTGCGGACCATCATCACCGTCGGCCATCTCATCGGCCACCGCGCTCTCCTGCTGCTGCTGGCCGCCTGGACGTCAACACACACACCCTCACGGACCCGGCCTGAGTGTGCTGCTGATGTGTGTGCGTCGAATGGTCCGTGTGGCAGGCCTGATCACTCACCGCTGTCTGCGCCATTGTTGTCTTGCCCGTCTGGCTGCCCGCCGCCATTGTTATCCTCCTCAGCCACATCGTCTGCACACACCATCGAAGGCACACACACACGTGTGGCGCTGATGCTGTGTGTTTGATGTGTCACATTCATCTGTGTGTGGCGTACCCGCATCGCCACCGTCACCGTCCGCCATGGCAGCGGAGGCCATGTGGGTGTCGTGACCCTCGGACATCTCACTTGAGCACACACCAACAGCTGCACCGACCACACACAGAGAGGCAACCAGAGATGGGCAGACACTTGCTGCATGTGTCGTGCCTGTGCTCGCCCACCTGTTATGAGTCAAATGGTACAAAGCCGCTCAATCAGTCCGCCCCGGCACCAAGGCAGACCTGCACAACCCGACACCGACACACAAAGGCAGCACCTCACCGACGACTAGCGGTGAGCCAATCGCGTCGCACTCAGTGTCGGTGAGAGCTGCTAAGCCGCGCGATGACGTGGCCGCTGTCGTGCGCAGACGCCCGTTCCGCGTTTTCTCCCTCCCTTATCTCCCTTCTTCTCTGAGCTCGCGAAGCCCCCCCC